CAGTCTGGAATGACCTTCACCATCCCATCATTTCCTAAATTGCCTTCTCCCAAGATAACTAACAACTATACCAAAAATCCTCAAATGTTGAAGTTAAACAAAACTTTAGGAAGCGTTACTTATGGATGGCCATTTCATGGGTGGAATATTAGGCTGGGAGGTGTGTAACAATGATTGCAATGCGGTATGTTCAGTAGTGCTTAGTTGAAAGAATCTCTTTATAAGCTAGAGAAAGACTCTGGGGGTCACAGGCAGTCTGTGGGCTGAACCTTGGGAACATTTGTTGTGAAAAGTTGTGTACAGAAGGCTGACAAATATAGCAGGAGCATAGGAATTTCAAGAGAGGAGGGTAGGAATTCTAGCAGAAGCAGAGGGATTTGACTGTCTTGTGTGTTATGTGTCATTCTGAGACTTGTGTCTGAAAATGTGACTGTGATAAGCTTGTGGATGGAAGACTAGAGAACAGGGATTTTGAGGATCTTGAACCTTCTTCCTTGTTTCTGTGGATTTCTGTCAGGCTTGTTGAGGAGCGTAACAATCTTGGTAAGGTTTTCTGTGTAATTAGGTACAATATGAAATATTTTAATTTGTTTACATTATTAATAGTACAGTAGGTAAGCCAAAATTTGCGATTAATTATCACAGCTTATTCATTTGAATGTTATTTACGAATCAGCTAACTGAACTTTTTTTTTTTGTTGTGATTCTTTTAGGCTAATATATTTTGGTGGCTATGGCTGTAGGAAGCATAATGAACTGAGCGATTGTTTTGATGTCCATGATGCATTTTGGGTAAGAGATTTGTCACAATTCAGAGTGATTTGTCCTTTCTGATTGTCAGAACATGATCTTTTATACTAGGCTCAGTAGATATGAAAATCTGCCTGATTTTTCTTTGATTTGTAGCATCAGCAGAAATGCAAATTAGACTCTTCTGTGTCAATTTGAAATTTCAGATATTGCACACATTCCTTGTGTATTCCAAGTACCCGGTGCTAGGCTTTGGGTGCAATGAAACAAAATCCTGTCAAAGCAGGAACAGAGGCAGTATTCTAAATCTGAAGACATAATTTAAACATGAAACTCCCAGATAATTTCAGAATTTTTTTCCTTGAAGTAACGATAGACTTGTGAAGCTATAAATTCCTAACTGACAAATACTTTCAGTTAATTTGTTTGTTATCCAGATTTAATCCCATTACTTTAAAATGCTTGGATTAGCTAGTTTCCTATGATGATTTCTTACAGCTAGTTGAAAGGAGACTGATTTAGAGTATTTAGTGACAGGAATTAATAAGAAATAGATACGCATTCAAGGGAGTATAGATCCTTACATCAGATGGTAAATATTGACTTACAGAAATGTATTACTTTGTACAATCTATTTATTTCTCAGTATGCTACACTCAGAAGTTAGAATTTGTCTACTGCAGTGACTGATGTTGGAACCCAAAGACTGTTTTCAGAAGTGTGATCTGCCCTAACATTGCACACAGATTTTAAAATAGAATGAACTTATTTTTAATTTTTAACTTCTTTTTTTAGGAAGGACAGATATTCTGGGGATGGCATAACGATGTTCATGTTTTTGATACAACCACCCAAACTTGGTCTCAACCAGCAATTAGAGTGAGTGGTTTTTAGTATTGTCTTTTGACACAATGGCGATTTTACTGCATTTTGAATAGTTGTTGTGCTCTAGCTATTGTGCTAGAAATTGATGTTGGGAAAAGTAATGTGAATACGCTTAGTATTGCTCAGGCTTATAACATTAAACAGGAGGACACTCAATGCATCTGAAATGTGGAAAATTCAGAACTGATATGAATTTTTTTCCCACAGGATGTTATTAGACTGGTGGGTTTTCTATAATGTGGTTTTGATGCAAAAATCTTGTAAGCTTCAGAGAGGTATTAGAAATCTGGATACATTAGAAGATGATGCAGTATTCTGTATCTAGGGGATAGTTTTGAGATAGAGCTTTGTATTCAAGCTTTAAGACAACAGCTGGGAATATAAAATTACTGTTGGGAGCTCTGTTACTGGGAAGACAAGGTACTGGAATACTCCAGAAAATCATTTTGTAGGGATACCAGAGTGGTGCTGAGGAACAGGGTGCGGAGGTGTTCTGGTGGCTCCTCACAAAGCAAGCTTGGGTCCTGGGGAATGGATTTTGGTGATTATACCGACTTTGAGTATCCCTGTAGGCCCTGCTAGGGCTTTGGATATAGAAGAGTGGATATGGATATGAAGCCATTTGGTTGACTGCATCTGTGTGTAATTAATCTGCGACATGAAAAACCTATGACAGATCACTGAGAGTTAACCGCTTGAGACATCAAGGTCTGCCTGGGGATTTCTTCCTTTCCCCTCCTTCTTCCTTTTCATAAGGCTGATAGGCTGATAGGTCAGTGTGAAGGATAGTATATTGGGCTGAAAGAACAATAGTGGTCTTGAAATCTAGTAGCACTTGATTAACTCTTTCAGAGACTTAAAGAAGGCAAGAGGAGAGAGAGTAAACTCGCTGTAGTGCTAGTTCAGGTATTCAGTTTTTCTTTGTGAAGTAAAGCTATATGTTTAGTATGCGAGAGCTAAGCACTCATTATTTTGAGCACTGTGTATATGGAGTTGCTGCATTCCCTTCAAGAGTTAATGTTGAAAAATCTTTTGAACAAATATCTCCCAGTCATGCTATATTGTTAGAATAAACAGATCAGATATTCTTCAGCAAATATGTTATTTTAATAGGCTTCCAAATGAGCATGTATACTCACTTTCCCAGTAAAATATTAATGCACACATTTCTATGTATGGATATTAATATGCTAGTATACTATAAAGGTTCATAAAATCCTGGTGAGTTTTGTAACAAGTGTCTGACACTATTTTATAGTCATTGTAGGATGTTCTAAAATTCCAGTAAAATTAAATGCCAAAAATGAAATTACCACTGAAAAGTAAAAGATAATTTTGCTATCTTTATTTCTGATTTACACAGGGAAGACTTTTTGGCATGTGGCTATTGGATATAAGATCAAATTTTAAGATCTGATCTCCAGAGATTTTAGTACCAGTTCCCGATGGTTTGCACTTTGGAAAAATAAAGCTGCACAGGAGATATGAACAATAACCGATATGTTACTATAATTTTATGCTTGGGAATTAAAGATAATTTGATTGAATTTCACTTAAGTAAATTGATGATAAATCAGACCAAGAGGGAACATATTAAACGTTAACAACTGAGGGAACTCAATTAAAGCTGTCCTTGGCAAGTATGTATATCTTCTAATGTCTGTGGAGTCTTGGACATGACTACAAATTATTTCCTTTCCAAGTTGCAGTTCTGTCAGCATATTGATGCATATTGGCCTTGTCTTTGCAGTCTCTGTGTTACTGACTTGCCATTATCTTTGATGTTCTGAAGGATCTTATTTTGATTCTTTCAGGGCGGAGATCCACCTCAGCCTCGAGCAGCTCATACATGTGCTGTGCTGGGAAATAAAGGCTACATCTTTGGAGGACGAGTGCTGGTTAGTGTTAGTATTATTTTCTTGGCAGTTATTTTTTTATAGCAAATTACTTTGTAGTAGAAAAAAATCCAAAATGTCTTTGGCCTAATTTGTACGTTAGGGCCGTTGAATCCAGGATGCTTCTTTTCATCCCCCTCTACCTTACAAAAAGAAGACTCTGTCTTTCTGTCTGTAGTATTAATGATGAAGCATACTTTGTCCCAAAAAGTGAAAAAACAGATGACTGTATGGTAAATGTAAATGTTTATAAATCAACAAAAATGGTGTATGTGTGCGTAACCTCTGTACGAGATGGTTCTTTGAGAGTGGAGCAAGAGCAAGTCTGCTGATAGACCAGGTTTAAATAATGATGATATGCTTGCTACAGCTTAGGAGATTTAAACATCCAATCTGCTGGCTTTTTTTCCCCATTTCACTTAGTCAAATGCTAGCAAGTAGTAAATATAATTGGGATTTTAGCTTGTGCTCCCCCCTACTACAGAAAGAGGAAATGTGTAAGAAAAGTCAGTTACACATCTCACACTGTGATGTTTACCTTCTGGGAAAGTGAAGTTCAGAATAGCTGCTGGGATACAATATTTTATATTTACGATTGCAATGTGTGGTTCTGAAAGGTAGGAAATAACAGATTTCAGTTGACTTATTTAAACTTCTGTCATTTTGTGACCGAAATACAGATGTGATTATAATGTCTGGATACAAAGGTATTAGTCTCTGTGTGTTCAAGCTGGTGCAGGATGCTGCAGGATGTTACCTGATAGCACAGGCCATTGGAGGCACAGTTCATTCCAGTCCTATTAAACCTCTCCTCTGCTCTCTCAGCATCAGTTTTGCAGTCTCAGACTTTACCTCTAGCATGCTCTGTGCCCTTGGTACAGAATATATGCAGCATACCGTAAAGATTGCTGTTAACAGCTTTATTCTGTGCATCCAATATAAGTGAGCTCTTTACTGCAAGAGTAAGGCTGTTACTTGCTTTCTTGATAGTTGATCGAAGACTGTACCATTTACTACACTGTGGGAGGATCTTAAATCTGTTGTCCCTTAGGTAATAGTCAAAGGAAGCGTAAGAGCTGTCTGTATTGGATGCAAATAGTGCATATTTAAAGCAAGGCTAGATTCTTGCTATGTAATCTTTCTTTCTTTTGCTATGTAATCCTCTTTCTTTTTAACTTAAAAAATAAAAGTAAGTCTTAGGCATCATCCCCCTTCTTGTCTGTACCTAAAAAACTTGAAGCCACCACTGGTAACCAAGGATGTACTAAAACCTCTTAGCAACACACTTAATTTTTCTAGTACTAGTCAGAGGAGATTTTCTCTTCAGTTCTCCTCTGCTGAAGCATCAAAGTAAGAATTTAAGCCTGAGGCAGCAATACAATAAAAAAACCATATTCCTGTCTTCTGTCTGAAAATGAGGATGGTAGTAGGTAGACTTAACTCATGCAGGCTCCCCTATAATTTGTAAATTTTTTGCAAGGATAGTTTCTTTATGGGCTGGAAAGTATACCAACTTTTTTTAGAACTGTTGCAAAAGCAGGGAAGATAAGGTCTCTGAATGAGCTGGAGTTTATGAGAGAAACAGATTCTGAAAGGCAAGTAAAAAAACCTTATAATAAGTTACTCTGTACTCTTCCCTTTGTTTTTTTTAAATTTAAGTTTTTAGCTCTTTTTACCTGCAGCTAATTTAGAGCCTTTAATCATATTCAGCTAGAGGATGAGACTTGATGCTTTCTGTCCCTACTACTATGAAAAGTAACAGTGAAGAAGCTTTTTAAAGTCCTCAGTGCTGTGTTTCTATAGTTTTGTTATATGAAAGAGAAGGAATTAAGTGTTGGTTGGAAATGCCCTACGATGAACATAAGCCAACTTCATCTTGGAAAGCTGCCATAACCTAAACCCTCTATTCTCGAGTACTTCCAAATAAAACAGCATAAAATGGCACTTTGTCCCCTATCCCCTGTTTTTCACGCTGTAAAAGCTGTACTGTAATGCAGTGTTCTTCTCAGGGCGAGTCTACAGTTCTGTTACAAAATGGCTTACTCCTGCTTGCTCTGACAGAAACCAGACACACAGATGAAGGCAGGTTCAGAATGGCCACACAATGTCCAGACAGTTTTTCAGTTTGAATCTCCTCCCACAGCTGCATGAATTTTTTTTACCAAAGTACCTTTTCAGAGCAATCAGAAAATAAAGTAACTGAAATTGATCCTGTTTGTTCTTACCGTTCTGCATGATGTGTTGTGTGGCCTTTCGTACAGGGTCACAGTCTCCAGAATTGTTGCTAAAGCCCCACCTCTGACTGAGAGAGAACTGTACGCAGTAGCTTCCAGAGCTGTAGGTTTTGGACAAATTTGATTTGCAAATAACTAAGAAAATTAAGGGATGTTAGAAGAGACTGAAAAAATATCTAGTCTGACTTGACTTGTGTGTCAAGGTTAACCATGCCAGGCTGAGTGAGCCCTGTGCCTCTGCTGTGGACTTGCTCTTTGCTGTATAAATGACCTCTTGCTAACCACAGCCGAACTGAATCCTGCTCCTCATTTAGCAAGCCTGCAGATGTGAGAGGGAAAGAAACCTAGATGTTAAAAAGCAACCGTAGCTCAGGACCTCCTGGCCTACCATTTACTTCTGAGCACTTCCTCAACCTTCAAAGCCTTGCTCCCTCTGGCTTTTTGTTAGCAAGGGCTGTCTCTGTCCTGCAGAGATCTTCACACCAGAAACAGAATAGCACTGAGTTTTGTGTCCAAGCTAGTTAGGGTTACTGCACTGTGCCTTTTGCAACTGAACTGCCTTGTAACTCCAGCTAGGATTCTCACGCAGCCTCTGCAAGTGAACTTCTTGGTAAACTGGAGCTCGCCTGTCATTTCTCCACTGTGCTGTTGCATGATTAGATATGCCCTAAGAGGACGTGCCCTCTGGCTTCTGTTTGACTATTTGACTACAAGATTCTGAAATACAAGAAGGCTCTGATCTGAGAGGTTTTTCTCTTCCTCAGCTAGCATCAGCTTCCTTAATAACCTTTTACTAAATTTGAGTGAAACTGCTTGGGAACAGTGTCAAAGAGGAGTGAAATTTTGGAAAGCTGTATTTAATTTTGTAGGAAAGCAGTGAGTGTAATTTTCACCTTAATGATACTCTATTATTGATTCACTTTCTATCCTAGAAATAAATGGAAGGAAACTTAAAAAGCTTAGGAAACATTCCGTGGGGCTTGAGGAATTAATGTAAGTCATGAAACAGGAAAGGAAAGCTAAAGACATCAGAAAAACACTACATTTCCTGAGAACAGGAGTAACTCCTCTCCAAAGGATGAAGTCTTGCTTTTCTCCATAAATTAAGGAGGAAGTACGGGGTTGCTCTGGTCCTCCTTCTCCTTCTAGTTCACCATAATACAAATCTTCCCAGGGAAAAGGCTCTACAAGGAACCAGAAAGGGCCAGGAAGTGTCATGAGGCTTCTCCTATTCATCTTTCTGGGAGGAAAGGGCACCTTTTTCCAAACTTGGAGCTAGAACTGGTAAAAGAAGATGATGATGATCAAAATCAATTGTACCAGGAATCATTTGAAAACAGGCTCAGAAGTATTATGTGGACTCTGTTCCTCCAGGTAAGCCCCTGAAAAAACAGAAATGGGAGAAAGTGGGAAGCACGGAGAGTTAGTCCAAAAGTTGATGCAAGGCTCATGTTTGATTTACGTGGAAAGTTTTCATGTAAAGAATGATGAAGTAATAAAGTCTTTCCAGCAGCTCTTCACACATCTGATGCCTTAATGTATGCGTGTTTATATTTCCTGTTATCCTGTCTGTCACCGAAGATGAGAAGATACACTGAACTGCAGTCCTCCTCTTACAAAGATTTGAGCTGTAATAGCTGCTTGATTGTAAATCTCAGAATGGAGAGCTGCACAGAGTTTACTGTAACAGCAGTGAGCTGTAAATCTGTCACCTTTAATGCCTTTCTTCATGCTAGAAAGCTAATCCTGAGACAAAGCAGATCCTGGTTAATGTTTACTGGGCTGCAAATAAATGAACATGCCGTAGATAAGTAGGATGGCTGAGGAGTGCTTGTAGCTCAAAGGGAAATGCAAACCTTCTTATGAGGCTTGATGCTTTTAAGCCAACTGAGAAGCATTTTAGGATTATCAGCTAAATGATTAAATATAGTAGGCAGCATTTAGAAATACACAAGAAACTGCAAGAAAACTTTGCATATGGCAAGTTACGATACTATAACCTGACCGTGTGCTTTACAGTTTCACAAATAAGGGTCGGGTAGAAAGGCATTTTCGTTTGTTAAAGCTGTGTTAAAGGACTGACTCTTAGATGGAAATGTCCAACTGATGCTGTGTTTTGAATTCAGAATGAGGTTGATGTAATTATGCATCTGTCAATCTGTTGAATCATGAGAATGTAAAGTTTATAATACATTGATTTCCCAGGGACCAAGAAACTGAAAACTACTTCGTCTTCTGCCTGATGCCTAGGAAAGGAAAGTCAGCAAGGAGGTCTTGAACAGGGTCTTCTTGAAACCTTAATTTCCAACATAACAGCAACTTCCTTTCTTCCCTTTCTTTAATAGATATCCTCCATATCAAACAATATTATTACAAGATGATTAAATATTTTTAGTTTTAGAGGCCAGGATGTTGCTTTTTGCCCACCTTACCCCCAAGTGCCTAGCTGTGTACAGGTACAGCAGAAGATACTCAGTAATTGCATTTTGCTTTCTGCTTGTATCGTTTGTTCTTCATCTCCTTCAAAGCCACCTGAAGGGGCAGGAAACTGAGTAGACTTGTCATGGAAGACAGATCTGTTCCACTAGCTGGCAGTTGAACCACACTTTATTGTTATGTTCACCCTCTTGTGGGGATAAAGTCTCTCAGGCAATGCCCAAAAGCCCTCACATTCTGTTTTTCTGTAGTCTGTTGGCCTTTCTGAAGGCGTTTCCAAAATGGTAGTGAACATTCTCTTCCCTAGGACAGAAAAGGGCTAGCACGTACTTGATCAGAGGAGGATAGCTCTCCTGAAAACCTTGCTGTTTCCTGAAATACCCTGAGAGACTTCCCATAGCTCTGATGGACAGCTTTGGAAGTCTCTCAAACTCACTAACTGGCTGAGTTCTCAGGGGTAAATCTACTCTATTCGGACTTAAATGACAAGTCTAGTTTCTGCCTCAAAGGAGCTGCAAGCTGGAGAAAGGCTTATTCTAATAGATCTATGAGACTACCCTAGGAGAAAAGAAATTGTAAGGTAAGGCAAGATATATTTCCCTACTTCTCAGATATTGCTTTGTAGTACCTAGGGGAATCACAAATATCAGTCAAGTGTATTGCAAGCCATTGAAGTATTGCTACAATCCGAACAAAAAAAAATTATTTCTTATATTCTCCCTTTATGTTTCTAAGGCAGTCACTTTCTTCATCTCAAAACACAGGCAGGTATTCAAGTGCATTGATTTCCCATTGTTCTTATTGATACATTTTATGATTTTTATGGTAAATGCTAAAGGGTCATAAAACTTTGTTGCTAGTAGTAACTTTGTGAAAGGGTTTGCCTTCTGGAAAAGACGGAAAAACACAGATGTGATGAACTTTTTGTGGGATGTCATGTACTGAGTACAGTATCCACTAGAATATTTCCAGGAATAAGTGACCAGGCAGGAGGATGCCTAGCTCTGATCAGAACGCAAAGAAAAATAGTGAGAAGAAACTATATGTAGAGTATTATACCTTCTGCAATTACCTACCATGAATTCTATGGATGAAAATTGAATACATTTGCTATTTGAATATCACATAGTTCTTCACTATTAAACCACCTTTAAAAGATAAAATTGTCCATATAGTGCTGTTGCATTACTGTAAATATTCCTGACAGGTAGTTTTCTGAGAGTTGCATGGGTTTTTTAAGAAGAAATGCGTTCCATCTGTCACTGCACATGGGTACAGTTTTCTTCAAAATATTATTACTTGTAATATTCTGTCCTGGGAAGGCCTCGCTGAAATACTTTGCTCATTGTTTGCTTAATATAACACAACTGGGATTTTATTTATTTGTTTTAGCAAACTAGGATGAATGATTTGCACTGCCTGAATTTAGACACTTGGACTTGGTCTGGAAGGTAGGTTTCTTCTCTCTGTAACACTTAAAGTTGAATGTAGCAGATTGAAACATATTGTTAAATAGTTCCACTGCTAATTTTGTAGCTTTTCCAAAAGGAGAATGGGAGTTTGGGGACTATTTTAACAGCTGTTATATTGTGATTTCAATTTAATTTAATTTGATAGTGGTTACTAAGCCTTTTCTGTTCTGCACCAAAGCGTTGATGGTGCTATTTTAAGCACAGCATGTAGTGATTTAACATCCTCATTATCAAGACGGGTACATTTATCCATATGGAACTGTAGTTTTGATGGCTTTTTGAATACTGTTTTTACTGTCTGTATTTGGATCATTATGGTACAGATTGGGGAAAAATCTCCCACCCTCCAAGACAAGCATCGTAACCATTTTTTTTAAATCCAGTAAAAAGCTTGTCCTAAAGATTTCAATTTTAAACTACATCAAGTATTAGTATACTTCCTAAGATTTGTTTGTTTGCGTGTAGCATTTATGAATCTGCCTACTATACATGTAAAACATAAACAAATGAGGAGATAAACAGTATCTGATGGGTGATAACCACTGTTCTGTTCCTGTTCTCAAGATAACCTAATAATAATTGCATAAAAGACCAAGAAATACACCTTTCCTGAGTATGTGTCAGTACTGATCATGCTCCAGGGCTTCCTGTGCTTCATGCACCTATGATGGGCATCTGCAGTCACCTGTGGCTGCTGCTCTGATCCTGCCCCAAGTCTGTTCCTCTGCCCTATGAGCCAAGAGCAAAGCGAGGGACTGGACACGATCCTCCATCCATTCCTTCTTGCAGCAGGACAAAGAAATCCCACGGTGTCCTTTCAAAAAAACTTCTCTTGAAGATTTCTTTAGTTAGCACTTACGATTAACTAATCGATTTAATTCCCCTTCTTCTTTGCTAGTTGTTTTAAAATTAACAATGTTCTACCCAAATGATAGTGTTGTCCCTCTTAGACTGAACTTTACCTCTGAGTGGATTTATTATTCAGATTATTGCTTTAGCTGCTTACTTGCTGTTGCATGAGCTGTCTGGCTTGTTTTTTATTACTTTCAAAAAGGAAACCTGTTGACAGTTGAGTGACAAATCAATGAGAGGAATTTCAAGCCCTGAAGGAGGGATGTCAGTGTCAAAGTTCTGTCTTAAGTCCTCACCAGCCAGTGTTCCCCTTTGTTTGGAATTTGCAAGCTAATATTGAAGTTTTTAAAAAGTGTTTTCTGTTCTTCACCTGAATACAACAGGCTGATTTTACATCCATACGCACACATCCTTAGACTAAGGATGGTAATACTAAATGCAGCCATTCCTAAACTGAAGATTGTTCCAATACTTGATTATTTCTGTATTATGACCCAAGAATAGCTAGATGTTTTCTCCAAATAATTTATTTGTGGCTATTAATTTGGCCTTGTATTACCAGGTCACCTGTCAGCATGCACAAACATATAATACCTCTTAGTGTGATTTCATCTCCTAAGTACAACAGGAGAAAAAATCAGCAAAAATCTTTCAGGACAATATCAAATTAGTATTTACATTTCATCTCCAGTTTACAGACTGTCTTTGCACAAATTGTTTGGAAAAATATTTGTGGCTACACGCTTCCTTTCATAAAATCGATAGTGGTAGCTGTATGAGAAATTGGGCAATTGTAGGGACCATCTCCAACACAAAGAACTTTGTCCCAAAAGTCCCATGATTCCCCACACAAATCTTGTAAAATAAGACAGTAGATAAACAGACTGGGGTTTTTAAATTTATTTTTTTTTTGCCTGAAATTTATATAGCAAAGAAATGCTTGCGGAGACCAATAAAGTTATGTGTTGAGAGTGTGAAGGAAAGAAAATACCTCTCTATCCTTTGAGTACTGGTAGTAGTTTTGGTTAGTTCTAATCAGACAACCCATTTCCAGCTGAAAACTGCCTCTATAAAGCCCTAGTGTCATTCAGGTATTTTATAGTTGGGGGAAATTCCTTCAGACTTGTTTGCTGTCAGGGTGAGTGTTTTCTCCTCTAGGTGTTTCTTGCCAAGGAACCTTTGATATGCTACAGCTTCAAATTCCTTTCTACTGAAATTTCTGATCCAATGGTGAATTAAAAATTGGGCAGGATACAGCCATTCTGATCTCAATAACAGAATTACCTCAGCCATTCTGTAGCTACAGAGAGATTGCTTTCAGTTACCCACATAAATTATCACCAAATGAGATTTGAGGATTTAATTTTAAAGTTTGGCTGTCTAAATGCTGCTGACCAGGACAGTTGACTGCAGGTGTTTGAAGTTCTTCTGTAAAGTACAGATCTCCCAGCAAGAAGGACTACATTCAAATTCACATACTGAACGTCCTCTCCTAAAAGAAAAAATTCCAAAAGCAGTGATGGTTTTATTTAAAGCCCCATGGCTTCTCATTAACCAGTCAAGTTTTTTTTCTTATTCAACTGTATGCAGGTTTCTTAAGGAATTGCAGAATATTAACCTATTAGTCCAGGAATATCTTCCAGCATGTGATTGCAATATTTACTTTAGTTGCCATTACCCAGAAGTTACCTTGCCTTCCTTCCCTGAGCTCCACTGACCCGTTACTCAAAATGTTCAATATTACATCATTTCTATTATGGTGATGATTTTTTATCAGTAGCATGAAAGATTGAAATGTTATCTCTCATTAGTATCTGCTATCTATTTTTCAAAGCATCAAAGCCTGTTGTATCTCAGCACAGTCTGCCTCTTTTGCCAATTTTAGAAGCATCTTATACAAGAGTCGCGCAAAGCAGGCACTCAAACATTGTGACTTGGCTTCAACTTCAGCACCAAATTTAGAAGGACAGTTTTGCAATCACCATTTAATTAGCTGTGATTCTCCAGTCTTTGCTTCCAGATGGAGAACTGCTCAGAAGCCACCAGCAGTGAAATTCCTCTAACTGAACTGCAGATGCCTTCATTACTCACCCTAGGCTTCCTCTGTGCTCAGTGAAGAGAAATAGGCACTTTTGGGGCACGAGGCAACTGCTGCTAAGGAAGACATCTGAAATAAATCACGAGTTGTGCTTTTCAAGGACCTGTTTCTCTTCATTGATTATAAAGGAAATAGAGATGACTGTACTCTCATACTGTAGACTGAGCGCACACCTCTGTGTGTGTATTATACTCACTTTAGCAAAGTAAAGGAAAAAAAAAAGTAACTGGTCCTTTGAGTTACATTCTACCTGAACTTTGCTTTCTTACCTGCTTGGGACAGTCTCTGAGTAAGCTTCTGACCCCACAAGAGAGTTTACAGGTGTTTGCACTTGCTTTTTCCACCATCTTTCCAAAATGAGGACATCTGAGTATGCAGTGGCCTAGATTCTTTGTGTCCAACTTCAGGTACTTTACAACAGAAGTTGTCTCTTTGCTTAGTATCAAGATACTAGGGGGGCTGATGCCCTCTGGAGGTCCTTGCTCTTCTCTGCTGGATCCTCCTGAGACAACTCTACACCTAAGAGCCTAAACTGAGAGGTTGTGAATTGTGAATTCAGGCCACCCACTTATATTCAGGTTCTTTACTGTTCAGATTCTCATCTCAAGCATACCTTATTGTGCAGCTCAAATGAAATCAATATCAAATCTGTATTTTTGTAACGTGAGCAGATTTTGGGAATAATAAACTTACATCTGTTTTGTACTTAGGAACTCTACTTTTTACTAAAATGTATCTCAATGTTTGGGTGACCCACGGTTGTGTTAAAAGGCACAATGGTTAAAGAGGTAGTAGCTTTTGGATAAAAGGTAAAGCTGCAATCCTTGTATCACTTAAAATCATTTTCCTAGGAGTGGTGAGACTGTAGCCCCTTGGGATTAATTAAATTTTATTTCAAATAACTGAGTCTGTGTACCTACATGTACTGTGCAGTTTATTCGAATATATTGTCCTTCCTTTGCTGTCCTAAGTGCCTTCAGTTGTAAACTAAGGAGTGGCTTCAGTGATCGTAAGGAAAAAGAAAACAAAGTAACAGTGCTTTTGACCTTGCATTTGAGATTTACAGAACTGATTGTTCAGAGAACAATTGCTACAAGAAATTACTTGGTTTAGATTTGAACACCACTGTTCTTGAGAGTGAATTCAGATTGCATAACTGCAGCTTTTTCACTGGGAAAATAGCCAAGCTTGTTCTAAGACAAACTAAATTAAGTATTAAATTTTCTGGAAGGTTAATTTTCAGCATTCTTTGAAAAAATTGTTTTTGTTTCTGTGTTTCACCAAGAATTAATATCAGTGGAGAGAAGCCAAAAGATCGATCCTGGCACACGTTGACTCCAATAGGAGATGACAGACTTTTTCTTTTTGGTGGACTAAGTTCTGATAATGTTCCTTTAAGTAAGTAATTTAGAGATTATCATTCTATTGTACACTTCAGTACTAACCTCATGTAGTCCCCACATCTGTTGTCTTTCTCAATCTACTTAGACCTAAATCTTGTCACAGAATTTTCATGGCACTTGAGTATTTCTCTACCTATCTTATTATTTTTATAGAAATGTCTGAGCACATTGTGTAGTACAATGAGAACATATGATAATAAAACTTTCATCAAGCTGTCATCTAAAAGAATAAAGGCAAGAGTCATGCATTTTGAAATGAACTTTTGTTATCAATAGCAATTGCAGGAAGAAGGTTCAAATAATGTTAACATCACGTAGATTTTTGGATGAATAACAAATCATAGCTACAGAACGTTAAATAGGAAGTAGGGTAGTCTTACACTGAGTTCCTTTTCTAGAAAAGGCAACTTCTTTTTATGAAAAAAGAGGGGGCGATTTTCTCAATATATCCAAAAGAAAAAAGGTGTCTTTAAATTCCAGATGTCAGTGCAGTGAGCTCTCTGTGACTGAACAGTTAAATTACAAAGACTGAAAAGATGTAAGTTAATGTAGTGATGATGTTACTGTTTTCTTAATACGATGTCCTCTTAGAACACAGAACTTTTTGTATAAATAAAAAAACATCCAAAGAAAAAAAATACTAATGTATGTTCTTATATTGTAGGTGATGGCTGGATTCACAGCATTACAACAAATGGATGGAAACAGCTTACGCATTTGCCTAAGAGTAGGCCTAGGTATCCAAAAACATAACGTTTGCTGAAATTTAGGCATTTTAAAATATTATGTAATTTTATATTATTAACAGTACCTTTAAACTTCATTATAAGGATATTTTATAAAATTAATGCAGTATGATTGAATAGTTTACTAACTTATGATCCTTAATACCTGATGCAGCATTAGCACTTTCTATATTTGTTATAGTTGATACTTCCTTGCATTATGTATGCTATATTTTTGTGATGAAGGATCTGGGTGTCCAGCTAGCTTGCTGTTCTATATGCAAACTATTTTTATATAAGAAAATTTGTATCACATAAATTTGAGGAATTACTAACCTATGAGAATAATAAAAGTTGCTTAATGTTGATACATTATTAGAAACATAATGGGGACAACCATGAAAATGCTGCTGCACCTTTAATGCTGCACAAAGTATTATAAAGTAGCTTGGTTGACTGTGTGTTTTTTCCCTAAGCAGAAGCAGCTAATTATGATTATAGTTCTGCAAAACTGAATTTAGTACTGAACAGCGCAGTAAATGACTGTGGAGTTCTGTTACTTTGGGGACCTAACTGCCAGCCAAAAAGGAGATGAACAACATCCAAGCTCTAGGATGTGTGTTGTTCATACTGGCAGCAATACTGTCTCTTACAGACTCTGTTCCCCTTCCCTCTCCAATCTTTTTACAGGGAAAGATTGATTATTTCTGACTAAAAAAAAAAAAGCAACTTTCATGTTCTGATCCTGGAAGTTATTTTGAAATCATGTGCTTACTGTATCAGAGCACAGACTTTTCTTTTTTTAACCACACTGTTCGGAGCATTCTATGATGTAAATATTATTGAACTGATTTGCTGTACATACTAAATATTCAGTTTTTTCATGAAATTCAATCTATACGTTCACCCAGGTACTATCATCACAATAGTATATAATTTTTTTAGCACAATAGTATATAATTTTTTTAGCACACTGTAGAATTCTGGTCTGGCATTTGCATGCTTCCTGCCTTATGTTCTGTTTTCTATTACTGAAATATCTTTACCTCAATTGATTTTCTTCCTGTTTTATCCTATTCTACAGTGTCTTTTAAGTATAACAGCACTGTTAGACCAAGTTTTTTGCTTTCTTGTATTCGAACACTTCAAGCCCAAATAAACCTTAGCTTCATAGAATATTTTCTTTTTACCATCAGTGAACTGACGGCTGCCTTACATAACAAAGCACAGCATTAGCAGTCAAGGATCATGTCTGTCTTTGTGCTCAGTTCTTTATGTGGATGGTCTTAGAAAAGTTTAAAGGCTGAAGGGTACTGCCTCGCCCTGTGTAATTATTTTTACTGGTGCATGGTGAGGAAGGATCAGGAAGGGACAGAATGTGCTTTTTCTGCAGGGAGCTCAGCTTAGCCTTTACTCTGCAGTTATGCTGGAATAACATTTGTGCCTCAGGTGGTGGCAGGGCTGGATGATAGGAACCGGTGACTCTGGAGCCCCAGGTGGATTTCAGGCAGTTCAAGGGCAGATCCCATACTGGGCTACAAAGTGGAACTGTCACTTGGCTGTCCTGACAGAGAGCCTGCAGTGCAAGCCACCTTCCTTGCTGCAGCAGAAGCTCCAAAGAGGTTTCCTGAGGTTGACACTGCTGAATTTGCTGGGGACTGTACTGCACAGGTAGCCCAGAGAGAGCAGAGCTTTTGGATCTCGTGCTGACAAGTCTCAGAGCTCCCTCAAGTCCAAATGTGTTGTATGGTTTTCCACCATCTGAAGATTTTGGTGTGCAGTTTGTAGGCAGAGGACAGCTGCCTTTCATTGACCTAATCATTTATTGAAGTAAATGACACACACACCCTTTTTTCAAGATACTTCAGTGACCTTTTTCAGGAAGTCCTGGAAACATAGATAAAAGGAGCCATACCAAAAGTCTGTTTAAATATGGAATGAGGACTTTTGGAGAGTAGTGTAGGGGAGAGGGA